GCCAATTAAACACTTTTGAGGTGTAATCAATTGTAATATAGGAAATAAGGCAGCTAATATGTGCCAAGCAAGTTCTTTGAATTAATCTGGATAATTTTGTGTTGAATGTATATATTTAGGACAATTGTTGATTAGGATATACATATTCTATGCTCTTACTTGCATAATGTCTTCTGATCTTTCATATCTACCTGAATGGGGAGGACAATATTTTCTTTCGCATTCTATCTATGAATACCAGACTAACAACAACAGTTTATCATTATATACAACTTCTAACATAATAAAATACTCTGCAGTGCTTCACAGAAACATTATAAAGCATAATTCGACGTTGAACACCGGAAAGCAATTACTAGGCAAATGGTCAAAGGTTCTAAGGAAGATCTCAAAGAGGAAAGAGTGGTAGAGATTTGGGTAGTTTAAATAAGGAATTTCAAAGCTTGAGGCCTAGCCAGCTGAAGACTTAACCATTAATAGTGGAGTATTTAAAATGAATGTTGCTCAGAAGGCCAGATTTAGATGACTGAAAAGTTTCTCAGAAGGTCGTTGAGATAGGATATTAAGAAGCTATTTCAGAAACTTGAAAACAAGAAAGAGAATTTTAAAATCATGATCAGAAGCCAATGTAGGGTAATGAACCTAAGAGGCTAGGTAAAAGGAATTGGTGCAGATTGTTACAAGCAACAGAGTTTGAAATGCCACCAAGAAGAGCAAAATGTAGCAGACCAACCAGGATTCAACATGCTAGTCAAGTTATAGACAACAAAGGCATTCAGATGAACTGAAACAGGGGTAGAATTGGATAATGTTGTGATCTTAGTGAGGGTACTGCTGTGAGGCCAGAGCGACTGTGAGAACAAATATGACTCCATAGTTGTGAACAGTCTGGTTCAGCCTCAGACAGCTACGAGTAAGAGGAATGGAGTTGGTCCCTAGAAAATAGTTTGTAGTGGAGACCAAAGACTTCAGCATTGGTCTTCTCAAAATTAAATTGGAGAAGACTTCCAAACATTCAGTTCTGGATGTTGGACAAGCATTCTGGTAATTTAGTGGAGGTAAAGGAGTCCAGAGAGATGGTGATAAGTCAAGCAAAACGGTGCTTCTCAGGGTACCTGTGAAAACTGACACCTTGTTTTCAGGTCATATCAAGGGGTAGCGTGCAGATGAAAAACAGAAGAGACCAGGGATTTAGACCCCTGGGGGATACCAGAAGGACTAGTTAATGGGTGAGGAAATAAACCATTACAGGTGGTACCCTACCTATGATTAGTTGGATACGAGTGAAACTATGTTAGTGTGATCCTACCTAACTTGACAAAAATAGAAAATTGTGAGAGGAGGATAATTTGGTCAACTGTGCCAAAAGCAACAGGCAGATTGAAATAGCCAAAGATGGATAGCTTGCCTTTGTTACAGTCACAGAAAGCATCATTCCTGACTTCAATAAGAACGGTTGATAAAAGGCTTGATAACACAAATGAGATCAGAGAGAAATCAAATTGCTTACTTAATTAAATTGTTTTGATAGAGTAAGATTTTCCAAAGTCAAGTATTTAAATGAAGATTATTGTTGCTTGACTAATTGAAGATAATTTAGATTTTTTCCAACATATAAAGGTGTGAGATAAATTGTACGTCTGTTATACATCTCTATTTGCTTTTGTTTCTATTTTTGTCAATGGAAATGAAAACTTGGAGAGGTGTATGACAGGTGGCTGATCTGATATCTTTTTTTACACAATCATCACAAGATAAAATTATTCCAATATCTTTTCAACAACTGAACATGTTAATAAATGATTAACATTTTAGCTCTTAATGTATGATTAAACCCCACATCTGCAGAGATAACTTAACTAATCAAGAACAAGATAATGAGCTGTGCCAAAATTGACTCAGATCATGGATAGAGCTGAGAAAGGGGCATTTACTCCATTGTGCCTGTGCCGCTTCTTTGAAAGAGAAACCCAGTTAGTCTGATTGCCGTTCACTTTCTCCACAATCCTACATTTTTCTTCCCTTAAAGTATTTCCATAAGTTCCTTTTGGAAGTTATTTGTGAATCTGCTAGCACCACTCTTTCAGATAGTACACTGCAGATCCTAACAACTTTTGCCACATCTCATCTCTAATTCCTTGGCAATTACTTTAAATCCATTTCTCTGGTGATTGACTCGTATACTACTAAAATGTTTCTCTCTCTTTACTCCACCAAGATCCTTCATGATTGTTACTTCCAATTTGAAGGAGAACAACCAAAATGCCTTTAGTCTCTTCATGTACCTGAAATATTGTAATCCTCTGCATGTTTTCTAAGGACTTGACAGTCTCTTGAAAATATGATGCCCAGAAGTAGGCACAACAACATTAAATCTTTTTTCTTTTTTAATTAACTCATGGAATGTGGCATTGCTGGCTGGTCCAATATTTATTGTCCATCCCTAGTTGCCCTGAGAAGGTGCTGGTGGGCTACCATCTGAAACTGCTGCAGTGCCTGTGCTGTAGGTAGATCCACAGTGCTGTTGGGAGAAAATTCCAAGATTATGTCTCAATAACATTGAAGGAGCAGTGATATATTTCCAAGTCAGGATAATGACTGTCTTAAAGGAGAACGTGCAGATGGTGGTGCTCCCATGTATCTGCTGCCCTCGTCCTTCTAGATGGTACAGGTCTTGGGTTTTGAAGGTACTGTCTAAGGATCTTAGGTGAATTTCTGCAGTGTATCTTCTACATGGTATACACAGCTGCTACTGAGTGTAGGTGCTGGAAGAAATGGATGCTTGTGGATGTGGTGCTAAACTAGTGTGCTGCTTTGTCCTGGATGATGATGAAACACTTCTCCAGACAAGTGGAAGTATTCCATGACACTCCTGACCTGTGCCTTGCAGATGGGATACATGATTTGGGGAGTCAGGAGCTGAGGTACATGCTACAGTATTCCAAACCTCTGACCTGTTCTTGTAGCCAGTGTATTTATATGGCTAGTCCAGGTTAGTTTCTCCTTAATGATAACCCCAAGAATGTTAATTGCAGGGGATTCAGTGATGGTAATGCCATTGAATGTCAAGGGGTGGTTGTTAAATTGCCTCTTGTTGGAAATGGTCAATTCCTGGCATTTGTGTGATTCAAATGTTACTTGTCAGCCTGAGCCTGGATAATGTCCAGGTCTTGCTGCATTTGGACATGGACTGCTTCAGTATCTGAGGAGTTACGAACGGTGCTGAAAATTGTGCAAAATCAATGAATGTCCCCATTCTGACCTAAGGGTGGAGGGAAGGTCATTGATGAAGTAGCTGAAGCTGGTTGAATTCGGATAATACCCTGAGGAATTCCTGCAGAGATGTCCCGGAGCTGAGCTGACTGACCTTCAACAACCACAACCATCTTCCAATGTGCCAGGTATGACTCCAATCAGCAGAGTTTTCATTCTGATTTGCATTAACTTCAGTTTTGCTAGGCTCCTTGAGATATACTTAGTCTTGTATCACCTTACCTCCAGAATGCAGCTCTTTTATTCATTTTTGAATGGAGGCTGTAATGACGTCAGGAGGTAAGTGGCCCTCGCAGAACCAAAACTGGGCATCAAGAACAGCTAATTGCTGAGCAGAACTGCTTGATAGCGATGTTGATGACATCTCCCATCACTTTACTGATGATCTGCAGCTATGCGAGTGACTTATAAGGATTTTTAGTGTAGCTTCCATCTTCGGTGTTCTGTGCCTGTTAATAGAGCCAAGGATCCTGTATATAATGTTCTCAACTTGTTCAGCCACCTTCAAAAAACTGTGCGCATATAATTCTAGGTTTCTCTTTTTTCCCTAGAATACATTTAAAAATTGTACTGTTTAACTTATATTGCTTGTCCTTGTTCATTCCATTATAATGGATCACTTCACACTTCTCTGCTATAAACCATATCTTGTATGCGTCTGTACATTCCATCAGTCTGTCTGCATCTTCCTGAAGTCTGTTACTATTCTTTCAATTGTTTCCAAGTTCTGTGGCACTTGCAAACTTTGCCACAGTGCTCCATACCCAGGTCCACATCATTAATATGCATCAATATGTTAAGCATTTATTTGCCAAACATATCAACAATAATTTCCAGTGTTAAACTAATAAAACATTTCAATTTTCAAACTTGTACTTTAACCCACAGCTGCTATCTTTTAGTTGGGAAAGGTGTGTAAAACTGTACCTGATTTGAGACACCTTTAAGTATCTCTATTTTAAAATGAAAACCAAAATAATTTATGAATATGCAAGTAATGTCCAGAACACAAACATTCTCATTTATCCCCTCCTAACAGCTTCCCTTCTGCCGAATAATCCTCTTACAAAATACAGGGTATCACATTTCTTCTGAAGGGTCTGATTTTTGCTGAGGTACAGTTCCACAAGTTGTTACAATTTTCCGGTATATTGGCCACACTGCTATTTTTCATATGGTGAGTCTAGACAGCAAGTTATGTGATTGAAATCAAAACCAAGCCATTTCCTGATCCAGGAGTACTGAGGAAAATTAAAACTCTTCACAGTTGACATGATTGAGATCAGCTCACTCAGTACAAAAGGTGAAACCTGGGACTTCCGGTGTGTATGACTTGGTCTTGTACCATGACGTGAAGTTATCCACAAAGCCACAAATGGTCTTACTGTTTAGCCACAACAATGCATCAGATTGGCTGCTAAAACACCAGGAGTATCCACTGTAGGCATGCCTAATGATATTTTGTTATGTGTCATAATTAATATGCAGTATATCATTAAGGTATATTCTCATGATATCAGTGCTGTATCATAGCATGTGACCTGAAGCTATAAAGGTCCCATATTCTATCTTAACTAGGGCCTCCTGAAGCATGTTCTACTGCTTTGTAACTGATTGTAACACAGGTATATCAGGAACAGTACTAGGGGTCTGTTGAATGTTTTAGTACCATTTAGCCACCTTGTGTTGTTATGTTACGAGAGCTAACATAAGCATTGCTTCATCAGGTTCAGGTATCTTGCTGGAAGCAAAACCCGTATCATGATGACAGATCATGGAAGGAAGAAGTGGTTGTTTTTAAAAGTCTAAGATCTTGGCGGTAGACACTTGGAAAGCTGGTAAGATCAACTAGACAACAGTCCTGGACTTTTCAAAAACTTTATGGCACAAATGTCTGTGTATAGTTCTGAAAATTTAAACAGCTGAAAGCTTTCTGCATAAAACGCAAGTTCTAAAAAATTAGAAGCTTTGTCTCTCTTTCTTAAAAATAAATGAACCATCAGCCTGATTTCTGATTTACAAGTTAAAAAGATCATTCAAATGATTTGATACACATTTGAGTGACTATGTTTTGGTTTTGGTTTAGAAACAATCTATTAATATGCGAGTAATGTCCAAAACACAAACATTCTCCCTTTTCCTCTCCAAACAGCTTACCTTCTGCAGTGTCTGTAATATGATAATGATCAGTATCTGTAATAGTGTGGTTGGTCACAGCTACCCAAAAACAATCCAATGTTTCTTCACATCTGCAAAGCATGTGGCATGAAAGGACATTGAGCAAGCAGGTGCAGAAAATTTGGTTCCAAAGGCCAAACCAGACCCCAGAACAGAACTCAGGTAGCCAATAAGATAGAACAACTCCACAGTATTTACAGCGAGGCACGTCTTAAGAATGTGTACAAAAACAAATGCATCAATGGAGTGCACAGTGAATTGAGTGAAAAGTAAATTTCAGAAGATGACCAAGCTTTCCATATCATTTATCCATACCCACAATGTTGATGATATAAGGAGCTTTTACAACCATTAACATATGTCCTGAGAAAGTAGGTTGACATACCGTATTAGCTAAAATTGGCACAGGAGATAGCTCCAACATATTACAACTGCTCATCCTAAAAGCAATGTACCTTAGAAGTGGCATGGATTGGTACAATCAATGAGATACCATCTTCTACGGTATAACAGTCATCAATTCTGTATGTTGGCAGAGTCATACTGCACAATATGCAAGTTCATCTTGGTTTCCCAAAATCTTCTACCTGGTAGATACCACCTGTCTGGAACTGGCTGAATTACCAATATGTATAGATCTCAGCATAGTCACAATTCATGAGATTGAAAACACACCCATTGTGACAGAATACACCACACATGATGTACTCAAATTAGTTGAAGAAGAAAACGTTCTCAAAGTTGATTTGTTACACGTAGTCCAGAGCCAGGGTGAACAGTTGCATTTGGCAAATGTGGAAGATGAGCAACAACAAGAGTTGCAAGACAACTTTAGCAAGGGATGAACTAACATTATTCAAGAAGTTCCTGTGGGTATTCGTTCATTTTGGCCAAATAAAAGTCAAACTTGCTTTCTCACCACAAATCATTCAGAAGAGCAAACAAGTGCTAATGCTAAAAGCTTTATGCCAGGATGTGTACACCATGCGGCATCATGGCCATGTGTATTGAATGCACAAGAAGACTAGCAAATGAATCTATGTGCTGGCCATGGATGCATCAGGATGTTTGATGACTTGTAAATGTGTGTGAGACATACCAAATATACCAACTTCAGCAGCAGAGGGAATTTCCACATCCACCAATGTCGTATCCATTCCTTGGACTATAGTTGCAACAACATAATTGTAGTGCGTGGGTAAGATTACATCCTTGTGAATTTACTTCTTCAAATTTACCATTGTTCAATGACTTAACAACTCAAGTGCAACCACTATTGACAAGAGGACCACTATTTTCAGTCTCGATTGCATCTGGCAATGGGACACAGTTCATTCATAAACCATTTCAAGACGTGCTAATTGGGAGTCACCATATCACATTGTCACCTCATTGTTTTCACTCATAGAGTCATACAGCATGGAAGTAGACCCTTCAGTTCAACCAGTCCACGCTGATCATGTTCCCAAACTAAACTAGTCCCATCTGCCTGTGCATGGCCCATATCCCTCCAAACATTTCCTATTCATGAACTTATCCAAGTGTCTTTTAAATGTTGTAATTGTACCTGCATTCTAAATTTCTCTGGCAGTTCATTCCACACACAAACCACTCTCTGTTTAACAAAAAAAAGTTGCCCCTCAGGTCCTTTTTAAACCTTTCTCCTCTCACCTTAAAATTATGCCCTCTAGTTTTGAACTCTCCCACCTTAGGGAAAAGACCATAGTCATTCACCTTATCTATGACCCTCATGATTTTATAAACCTCAGGAAGGAAACTCCCCAACCTTCTGCACTCAAGTGAAAGAAATTCCAGCCTTTCCAGTCTATTTTTATATCTCAAGCCCTCCATTCTTGACAACATCCTGGTCCATTCTTCCTTCACTCTCAACACCCTCCCACCACTGCCCCACTGCACCTTCCCCTGAAAACGGCGAAGGTGTAACACCTGCCATTTACCTCCTCCCTCCCTAGTATTCAAGGGACCAAACATACATTCCAGGTGAAGCAACACTTCACCTGCACTTCACACAACCTTGTCTACTGCATTCACTGCTCACAATGTGGTCTCCTGTACATTGGGGAAACGAAGTTAGACTGGGTGACTGCTTAACAAAACATCTATGTTCTGCTCACAAAAAAAACCGTGAGCTTCCAGTTGCCTGCCACTTTACATACCACCCTGTTCCCTGGCCAACATCTTTGTCTCTTTTTCCTATACATTGATGATATCATCGGTTCTGCTTCCCTCTCTCTTCTGGAATTGGAAAAGTTCATTGATTTCGCTTCCAATTTCTACCCTCCCCTCACTTTCACCGGGTCTACCTCTGAGTCCTCCCTTCCCTTCCTCAAAATCTTTGTTTTGATTTCTGGGGATACACTGGCACTAATATCCACTATGAACCCACCAACTCCCACAGCTACCTGCAGTATACATCCTCGCACCCTGCTTCCTGTAAAAACTCAATCCCATTCTCTCAGTTCCTCCGACTCTGTCACGTATGTTGAGATGAATGTCCACCTTCTTCGTCAACTGAGGATTCCCCAGCACCGTTGTCGACAGGGCTCTCAACTGGGTCCAACCCATCTCTCGCACTTCCGCCCTCACCCCTACCTTCTCTCCCGAAACAGTGATAGGGTTCCTCTTGTCCTTACCTACCATCCCACCAGCAACCGCATCCAGAAGATCATCAGACGCCATTTCCACCACCTCCAGCAAGATGCCACCACTAGACTCATATTCCCCTCCGCTCCCTTGTCCGTCTTCCACAGGGTCCATTCCCTCCGGGTCACCCTGGTCCATTCTTCCTTCACTCCCAACACCCTCCTGCCACTGCGCAATGGCACCTTCCCCTGCAACCGGCGAAGGTGTACCACCTGCCATTTACATCCTCCCTCCCCAGTATCCAAGGGACCAAACATACATTCCAGGTGAAGCAACACTTCACCTGCACTTCACACAATCTAATCTACTGCATTCACTGCTCACAATGTGGTCTCCTCTACATTGGAGAAACGAAGTTAGACTGTGACTGCTTCACAGAACATCTACGTTCCGCTCGCAAAAAAGACAGTGAGCTTCCAGTTGCCTACCACTTTAACACAACACCCTGATCCCTGGCCAAGATCTTTGTCTCAGTGTTCCAGCGAAGCTCAGCACAAGCTAGAAGAACAACACCTCATTTTCTGCTGGGGGACCCTGCAGCCCTCCAGATTCAATATCGAGTTCAATAATTTTAGGGCCTAAACTCTCCATTGTCCTAGCCCCCTATCCCACACACCAGGCCTTGTTATCACATAGCCTGCCATTACACTTTTTTTTGTCACTAACGGTCACCATTAACAGCTATTCACCCTCCGAGCCAGATTGTTATCAACTCCTTTGTCTATCCAACGACTCTTCTCTCTGTTTGGGTTCTATCCCCACCTATAGTTTACTCCCTACCTCTCCCCCTCCCTATCTTCTGCATATAAACCAACATTTTCCTAGCTACCATCTTCTGAGGAAGGGTCACTGGACGTTAATTCTGATTGTTTCTTCAAAGATGCTGCCAGACCTGCTGAGCTTTTCCAGCAACTTCTGTTTTTGTTTAGACTAATATAGCTCTTGAATCTCTTGAATTATGCTGCACTTGAAGGTCTCAAGCAAGTCATCTATGGAAACAATCGTAGTTGCCACGCAGGCTATGATCACTTTCCAGTGATCTTCCAGATATTTTGTTGCAGATATCTATGTCCTGCCACATTCTCCAGAGTGTTCTGGCATGCCTCTTGCATTGTGTTGCAGATGTAGCCTGTGCACTCTTCCAACTTACTCATGACGTCCAATACAATAAAGGAAAACATCTCCACTGCCTGTTTTTGAATCATTGATTGTTTTAAAGCTGGGCTTTTGAATCCCTAGGTTCCTCAGTCATGACAATCATTACTGCCCCTTCCATCACCTTGGGGTCACCCCTTCCCAGTTCCTCTGTTCTCCAGCATGTGTGTTTCATACTATGATGCTCCCTATTGACATGCTCCAAGTGGGTTTATTGGAATTGTTTTATAAAAGAGAGGTGTTATGATAGCATTGGTGAATGAAGTGAGCGAATATTTTTGGAAAGCTAGAGGGCTTTTCAATAGTTTCTTCATGGTGAAAGCTCAGCACCTATAATGGACACATTGGCATTCATTTTAGAAGGATACAGTATTACATATGATTCAGAATAACTCTACAGTGATGGCTTGAACTCTGGCTTTTGGAGCTTGAACAGCAGCTGGCACATTATAGTCTACCCATGAGTATCTATGTTTTTTTAATATTTCTGGATTCTTGCAGAGAGTGAATGACTACCCATTGGATGGTCAAGAAGGACCAGGCAGGTAGCAGAAGCATTCCCTGAAAACATTTCACCCCAACCAACACTTGAATACTGGTGAAAATGATGGTTATATAAACTTTTTTTTGAGCACTACTCAAGCTTATAGTTTACCTTGCCTGACAAATTAGAAGAGAGTTAAGAAATGAAACTGAAAGATTTTATTTGCTTAATGGAGTCCTTCTATTTTTACAATTGCAGAGTTAATATGGGTATCAAGTCAAATTGATTACAGAAAAATGATTGCAAATTTAACAGCTTGACTCAAAAAAATTAGAATAATATTTGTTATTCTAAAGTCTTCATCAATATAATGTATTAGAATACTCAAATATGTTAT